ACTAAACCTAACACTAAACCTAACACTAAACCTAACACTAAACCTAACACTAAACCTAACACTAAACCTAACACTAACACTAAACCTAACCCTAAACCTAACCCTTACCTTAAGTTAAATCGGCTTTCTGCCGACGTGCTGTTGTAAAGCGCCCTTCTGTCTCCGCGCTGTTGTCGCTGCGCTGATGACGTTGCGGTTTTAGCGACGCGGTTTAGTCGGGCGCGGTTTTGTCGTTGCCATTTGTCGGGTCACCGATGATAAGTCCTCTCAGTCCTTATTGATTATCTTTTCCAGATGTGATGCTCGGCTAGGATTATAAATACTGAAATTCCTGCCAGAAAACCAACAAACCACCCTTTCTGTGCTACTCAGACTAGTATTTGTTGCTTCCTAATGTGTCTTTGTTTACGTCTTGACGGAAGTAAATGTTCAGTCAGTGAAAATGTCCACCACAGCCATTGTGAGGGAAATTTGTAGAGGTTTCTTTTTGCAACCCCTAAAATTTCTCAGTCTCCTAAGTAATTGGTGGAAACATTTTAAAACGTTTAGCCCCTTTAAAACAACAATTCGATGGCTATTGCTGCATGGTTTTTGGTAATTAATTGGAAGAAGTATTTTGGACTAACTACCTTCTTAATACAGTGCCAGCCTTTTTTCAATTCCCTGTGGAAGCCTGAAAAAAGCAGACTGCCTTAAGAGTGGAAAGGTGGGGTCCAGACATTTCTTTTTATAGTGTTTTTGACACATTTTAGCAGCCTGCAGAGTTTTAAGTTATTTTCCATTTATAGTTTCACCATATGTGATCCTGGAAATACTGATTACATTTGTCACGTTTTGTAGCTTTAAATTATTGCTTTCATAAATGAAATCATAGTTATGAATGGAGTGATGTATCCACTTAGATATCAACAAATAATTTAAGCTGTAGATCAATTGCATTAGTATTTATTTCAGCGGTCTTTCTATTCTCCCTTTTCGTGGAGGAGGAGGGCTAAGTAGATGATTGTGATAGTGAACGTTGTTGTAAGGTTAAAATGATTGAATTCCAAATGCATATAGCACGTCTGGTTTAGAAGGCAACATCTTGTGAATTTTCTAGACTTTATGAAGTTTCCCAAACATAATAGTTTGAGTCTGAAAAGGGTGGTGTGTGTGTGTGTGTGTGTGTGTCTGTGTATGTATTAAACAATGCATTTATCACTTCCATCTGTTTTTCCCATTGAATTATTTCGCAAAATTGGTAACAGTGCTGAGATTTCTTGAAAGATTTGGATTCTTAATATAATTTGTGCAGTTAAGAAAACTGTCATTTGGTATTATAATAAAAAGAATTCAGTCTTCTCTAACATTTGGATATAACCCCTAAACTATTATGGGCATATTAGAAGCAATAGGATTAAGGTTGACTTGGCTAATGGGCCTGTAAAATCTTCCCCAGATATTTTACGATAGACTACACACACACACACACACACACATCCCTTTGAGAAGGATCAGAGCATGATGAAAAATGTTCCTCCAATATTCAGAATTAGCCAGGCTACAGGTAAACTTGTTTGCTCCAGGATTATCAGAAAACTATTTTTTTATGAA